CTGACCATTAAAATTGGATGTGGCGTTTTACAACCTCCTACACTGTTTGCAACAGTCACGAGATTTGGCCAACAGTTCCCTCACTTTGATCCTTGAACTCTAAACAGAGGCGGGAACTTATAAATCATGTAAATTTCACTTAATCACTGACACTTAACTGTATCCATGTTTTATGTAAAGCATATACATATGGCATGAATTATATAAAAACACAACTCTAAGTTATGAATTTATATAAATTAAAAAAAGGCTTTCCCATCCTTGGCTCTCCATTCCTACCCAAGGGTGGGTGGAGGAAGGGAAAGGAAAAACCACAGGGCAAGAGATCTAAAGTTCCCAGAAGAGGAATGAGAAGGTTAGTTATTAACCCAATAAAGCCCCATCCACCTTAACCTTTCCCATATTCCAATACTAAGACGATGTATTGTTGAAAATGCAACCCTGGCTTCAGGGACAAAAAAATAAGGTCCAAGACATGTTTTAAAGAAGATTCCCAAAGGGTGTTATCTTTAACTCCACAGAAAAAACACTGCATTGGACTATAATATAAGTCTAAGATAACATTTATAATTACTTGGCTCAATTTATTAAAATAGAAAAGTCTGAGTAAACATATACTAGAAGTTGGCCAGATGACCTTCACGTTGAAATTCTTTAGGCAGAAATAGTTTAATAATATTAGTGGTGTTCTCTTCATGTGGTTAACAAAGTCTAGCATAAGAACAATCCAATCTAACCGAACTTACGTATGGTATGAAAAATGAAGATTTACTTAACTTTCTCCCAAGTTATTAGGAACTTAGTCTTTTCTCATGCTTTTCTACATCTTTTTTTTTTTTCCTTAAAGACTGCTCTATTACCTGAAATTTTATGATACACGGACAAGTAACAATTCCATAGATGATGCCAAAAATCTCAACTATCTGTAAATGAATGACTGGGGTATTGCCCTTCCAGAGAGCTGTCTGTGCTTTTTACATAAACACGTAGACAAAACAGGTTTTATTTTGGCTGTGAGTACAGTCCTAAGCTGGGGATTCATCATGAAATTCTCCAAACAGAAGGATTTCAGAAAAGCAAGTGACATCCACAAGAGAAAAGAAAATCTACTGAACAGGAAAATAAGTAGGTTAGATAAAGAAATGTTTCTTGCACTTAAATATAAATAATATTTACTAAAATTTCACAAGTCCGAGCAGGTTTACCAGTTATTCTGAAAATTTTAAACAAAAAAGAACTGCAACATTTTTAGCATTGAGACTAGGCAACAATCGTTACTGAGCTCCCACAACAAATAAGCCAGATGCTGTGCTAGGCATCTCGCATATATTACTTCAATTTAATCTTTCTAATATTCCTACAAGGTAGACATTGTTGTTTCCATTTTACAGATGAGAAAACTGAGGCTCAGGCTGAGTAAGTAACAAAGTCACAATTCTAAGACATGACTACGTTGGGATTCCATCCAAGGTATGCCTGACTCCAAAACCTAAAACAGTTGCTGCCACCCTCACCGAATAGCACCACCAAGAAATTACAACCAGAAATTACGATGATGGACTTGTTTCATAAATAGAGAGGATCAGCTCTGGAGTCAGAAGCTCTAGATTTCAATTACACTTCTATTGAGTGGTGGTTTCCTCCAAACTAATGGAGATAAAAATAGTATTTAACCTCATAAGGTTGAGGTGAGAAGCATATAAAAAGCCTCAGTGAAAGGGCTTTGCAAAACAGGTAAGCACTAGTTGTTATCGGTACCTCCCTCTTCAAGCTTCAGCTAATGCAGCTGGTGATATAACAGGGCTGTGGGCTCCCATGAGTCCACCCACAGAGCAGGGAGGTACAAGGCTGAGCAACACAGAGCCTAGAGCCCAAGAGAACGCGACTTAAGGGATGAAGAGCGGATGGGACTTGGCCACAATCTTTGTTCAGTCTACCTTCTCATGTACTAAACAAACTGAAAAATTGTTGTGGGCCAACTCTGTGCCAGACATAGCCACAGTCTGCTCAGCAAACTACTGGCCCCAGTTGCTTAGCCACTTGGGAATCTATGGAAGGCCCTCTGCCTTCAGTAAGCTCACTTCCACCCTGAGGGAAAGAACATTAAAAACAAAACCCAAAGAGCCATGGCCCAACAAGAGCCTCATCCTTTCTCATCAACTTTCCCTATTCTTTCTCTCTCTCTCTCTCTCTCTCTCACTCACACACACACACACACACACACACACACACACACTCACGTGGAGGTTTTTCCATGGTACACAGTGGGTGCCCACAGCAGACTAAACACTTGAGGCCCATTTACCCTCATTAGGAAACTCTATAGTGGTCTACTTCAAGAGAGAATTTTAAACACTGATGACTCAGTCTAGTGACTTCCAGAAAAAGAAAGGATTCATTTCAGTATAGACAAAGGAAGGTTGAAGATCCCAGGTGGAAAAGAAAATCAATATATTTGACTACATAAAAATTTTACACTTCTATATCATTAAAAACAAAATTAAAAGACAAACCAAATTACAAATTTGAAAAAAAAAAACTAGGTGAAAATATTTGCAATAACTATGAGAGAGGGTTAATAAGTGAAATACATGAACTAGACTTTATGACAAATGAGAAAAATAATAATACCCAATAGATAAAATGGGCAAAGTACATGAACAATTTGTTAAATAGGAAATACAGCCAATAGTCATATAAACATGTTTGACCTCATTAATATCAAATAAAAACAAAATACCTTTTCTCCTAGAAAATTATCAAGTATTTGTAAAATGAGAATATCACTCTGCTAATGGCAGCAAAAATTAATAGAAACTTTTTGGCAACCGATAGGAGTATCAATCAAGATATCCATACACGTCCACACCCTTTGGTTCTACTTCTGGCCATCTAGTATAAAGACGGGAATGATGCGAAATACAGAAAAATCCTGACGGCATAAAGATGCTCATCAAAAATTGAAAATAGGCTGTATGCTCTGCAATGGATTAAATAAATCACAAAATACCCATATATGGAATATTTACAGTCCTAAGTAATAATATTTACATATTTTTGTGGTGTGGGGAAATGCAAATAAAATAATATTAAGTAAAAAAAAGTGGGACACAAAAGCATATCCTCAGAATATTTCAAATATGGAAAAAAACACGAATGGAAAAAAATGGAAGGAAACACATCAACAGTAGTTGTACCTTTGTGTGGTAGGATTACTGATGACTTTTTTTTAACTGTGTCTTTATGTTTTTTCTACTAAAATCTTCCATAGGTGCATATATTATTTATATAATTACAAAAAATTTAAATAATTTCAACTGCAAATCCACAATCAACAACAGCTGGAAATCGAACAGCTCTCCAAGCCATTCCCACAAATACCAAAACACTGTACAGCAGGCAGGGAAGGCAGTAAACAAGGGGAAAAGCAGCTTTATTGTAAATCTAGGGCTAGAAAAACATTAGCCTTCTGGATGTGAAAACAAAAACTTTTCATGTCCCACTTACCAAAACATATTTTGGAAATTCACTTATCAAAACATTTTCTATCAGAGGATTTAAAGCCACACACCAAACTTATCTCCACAGAACAAACTAGTTAAGCAAGCAGGAAGTTTACCAGGAACACCCTAAAAATTAATAATTGTTTTTACAGCTCCGATATATCCACGCCAGCTCATGTTTGTACACAGTGTACCACACACGATTTCCAGTGATCTGCCACTTCTAAACAGGAGAGCATGAAGTCCTTAGCATGAGGCTTTTCCTCACAAGAATCACAGATGCTGCTGACATTAAGCCTTTTGGAGTTCACCCTCTCAAAAGCTGATTTTACAGTCTTTGAGATGGTTTTCTTGGAGCAACACTTAACTACACCAAACTCTTTGCATTCATTATCTTGTTTGATCTTCACAACCCTACAAGGCAGGGTTTCTCAACCTTGGCACTATTGACATTGTGGGCCAGACACTTCTTTGCTATGGGGGTGGGGAGGGTTGTCCCCTGCATTGTAGGATGTTTAGCAGCATCTCTGGACTCTACTTACTAAATGTTAGTCCTCCTTCCACCCCTAGTTGTGACACAAGAAATGTTTTCTGATATTACCAAATGACTCCTGCAGGGCAAAATGACCCCAATTGAAAACCACTGGTACAAAATATGTACTATCAGGGCCAGCCCCATGGCGTGGTGGTTAAGTTCAGCGTGCTCTGCTGCAGTGGCCCAGGTTCGCGGGTTCGGATCCCAGGTACGGACCCACCCCACTCGTCAGCCATGCTGTGGTGGCAACCCACATGCAAAGCAGAGGAAGACTGGCACAGATGTTAGCTCAGGGCTAATCTTCCTCAAACAGAAAAAAGGAAGATTGGCAACAGATGTTAGCTCAGGGTGAATCTTCCTCAGCGGGAAAAAAAAAGAAAAATGTATTATTATTGCCCCCATTTTACAAATGAGGAAACTGAGACACAGTTGTAGGCCCATCTAACTCCAGAGGCCAGATCAAAAACTCTACACTGTATTTGTGAGCAGGTGGGAGGCCTATCTTATAGTATAACTGATACACACCCATCCTTTCTACTTGAGTCTCCTTTGCATCCCATGGAGCCTGGTCTAGCCCTCAATGCATAGTGGTCGAATGAACCATTACTCTCATCACATAAACATTTGAGGCCCTATGGGGTAGCAGGGCTGTCAAGAAAGGCACAGTCACGGCCTTCAACAAGTATACAATCTATCTGAAGACATAAGACATAACCAGAGATAAGCCATTTGGAGTGTCAGTTTTGGAGAAAACTCTGTTTCCTCATCGGTAAAATGGAGATAATGCTACACTAAGTCCAATTTCAAAAAACAACTAGATACCAAATGTGTGGCAATAAACAAGTACAGGCATTGGAAGAATCATAGCATCTCAAAATCACTGGGCTGGAAGGAACCTTCGAAAACCTGAACTCACCATCCACTTGGTACCTGAACATTTTAAAATTCAAAGATTCAATTACCTGCTTCCAGCAGAGTTCACGGGCTGAGCTCTATTTATTTTATTTTTTCCCCCCAAAGCCCCAGTGGATAGTTGTATGTCGTAGCTGCACATCCTTCTAGTTGCTGTATGCGGGACTCGGCCTCAGGATGAACGGAGAAGTGGTGCCTCGATGCGCACACGGGATCCGAAACCGGGCCACCAGCATCGCAGCGCGCGCACTTAACCACCAAGCCACAGGGCCGGCCCAACGGGCTGAGCTCTGACTGAGGCTCTCAGCAGAGGTTTCCCGGTGACCTGCTTTACGTGGGCCTGGAGAAGAGAGGAGGGGTCAGCAAAGAGCAACAGACAAAGCGGAAAGGTTGAGTGGACTTAAGGCACCCGGGGTGCAGAGCCTGGGACTGAGCACAGGGGACAGGGAAGAAAAGCTCGGAGAAGCAGGGCAAGATCAGATGAGGCCACAAGGCGACACAGTGGTGACACGGGCCAGGAGAGACCTAAGAAATATTTCTCCTAAAAAAGCAACCAAGGGCTACTACAAAGCATACACCCAACGTACATTATGAAGGTGGAGAACTTCATTTCTCAGACTAAAAGATTAGTATTCCAATTGCTTCAGAGCATTCCCCGAGAACAGGCAAACAAACGTTTTAAATTTACATATGTGTAAGTGAAGGTTTTGCCAGAACAAAGAGTCAGTTTTCCTCCCCATGTCCACAGGTCCCCCTGTTCTCTAGGGCACCAGCATAGCACAAGGAAACAAGAGCCCCGAGTAGCCAGATCTCCTCTTCGTTAAATCTGAACTTCAATAGGTGAAATCTCCCAAATTGTAAGTACTGGCTTACATTTCTTAAAATACTGTGTAGGTCAAACCAAACCTGTCTCCATGCAGTCTCCCTCCCAGGACCACCAGGATGAGGACCCCTCTGTGAGCCACAGCCCACGGGAGGTCAAAGAAAGCTCTGGAGCAGGCACGGTGGCCTCGTACCAAAGGTTTATTTGGAAGATGTGTCTGGCGATGAGGTGCAAAATATAGGGAAGAGATTAACTGCAGGGTCTGTATCAGAGATGATGGGGATGTGAACCAAAGCAAGGGAAGAGGGAATGGAGAGGGATTCAAGAAATATTTGAAAGACAAAAATGACAGTGCTGATGGCCAGGAGAGGGTACCTAGGAAACCAGACACAAACCTGACCCATTGCAAACTTGGATAACGAAGCTGAGACTTGAAGACCAGAGGGAAACTCAGGCTTAAAAGTGAGCTCTTTGACTTCCAAGAACCAGGGCCATCTTCACGGACTTGTGACCTGTATAGTCACACAGACTCCACACTCAGAAAGGCCTTGTGCTTGGTTTAATGCTCTGTTGTTATCATCTTGAGATTCTTAATAACTTGAACTCTGACCTTGTGTTTTGTAAATGAGATCTATTGGGACAATGGAGCGTGCATGTGAGCAGAGGAGATCTGTTTAGTATGTGTGGCCACCACTCCTTGCCACCCCACTCATACATAAGGTTTGCAGTGCCCCATGAGCACAGAATTTTGGTGAACTCACGACGCGTGGGAGTTCAGCAAGACTCAAAGTGAGTTCAAGGTAAACGTGTTACAAATACAACCGAGTAAGCAGGTGGGTGGGTGCTGAGAGCTCCAAGAGGCCACGCTTTCCATTTGAACCAGAATTTGGTTTGCGTGCAGAAACAAGGCAATGTCTTTCTAAGAAACACAACCAACCAACCAAGGAATCCTATCATATCCTCTCTTACTCGCGTTACTTCCCTGTATTAGCCAACCACTTACGCTGAAAACGATGGCACAGAAGGAAAAGGAAAGGTAGAGCAACCCATAGTTCTTTTTCCTTTCAGTCCTTCCCTATACCAGTCCTTCCTTCTGTAAGCCAAAGATTAACAGAACATGCGCAAATCAAGAAGTGAAACAAGTCATGAGTTAAGCTTTGTGCAGTGTTTCCTCTGTTCCGGTAAGAACACTATGCATATGCATTTACAAAATACAACGTGTGTGATTTCAGTAATTCTGCATACATGTTACATGATCTTATATTTGCATTTAACACTGGCATTGCACAATGTAAAGATGAACAATAAAATCCACGTTAATAATTTTAATTTTTAATTATTCTTCACTTCAAAAGACATTAAATAGCAAATAAACACCATGATGAATCATGAGAGAGACTGTGGAAGAAAAGGAAAAGCTTTTTATGGTAGTACCTTTAATAGCACTTTTTCCTGCTTTTCGAACAAGGGACTACACACTTCATTTTACACTGGGCTCCACAAATATGTAGCTGGCTCCATTGAGAACCACTGCACTCAACAACATTATGCCTATCTAAATATGTGACACACACTTGGGTAAGTTTTTACTGACATCTTTCAAAGCCACCCCCAAAAGACCCACTATGGGTTGATGGGAGTGGTGCTGATTTTTAGTATCACACTCTTAACCATTAGATTGCTTCGGTCCTTTTCTTCCATCCTCCTCATGTCATTATACAACAACAAATCCGCGGAAACACCGCAACTTGACGTCTTTCCAACTAAAGGTCTTTCTGAAATAATTAAACTGAAGACTAAAGAAGACCTTATCAGGAACAGCATGCAATGCAGAGTATTTCCTGCTGCTTTGATGGCTTGGTTTTAAGCAAACCCAGGCTGTGGTTCCAGAACCAGGCTGTTTCTCACCACTCAGAGCGCTCAGGTTTCCCCTGGGAAACTGTTCTGTGAACCATTAAGTCTGGTTGTCTAAAAATTCCTCCTTCAAAGACAGTCAAGTTTTCCTTTGTCTCATTTCATTCTCCTCTTCTTTTTTACACCACTACTTTCCACTTCAATAAATTAATTTCCTGCCTGGAGACACATCCTGGCAAATGTGTCAGCTTGTATTGTTTAGTTGAGAGACTTCTGTCATTCTTTCAAATTTTTCCTCTGTACCAATAATCCCACTAGCCAGCCTCTCAGGAGCCTGAGTTACTTGTCTATGAATTTCCTTTCACTGCCTCCTATTAGACTAAAAAATATGCAGGCTGCCTGCGGTGAACTTAGTCAACTCGTATCTCTTCAATCTTCAATTTTTTTCCATTTCCCCCTTCCTTCCTTCTATCCATCTGAAGAAGGGTTCTTACGGATTTCAAGGCTAACCTGCCACTCTCCACCTGATTTTTTTATCTATCCCTGTCCTTCTCCCCCAGACTCTGCACTCCTTCCCTCCTCTCATTTGCATCTTTCGTATCATCCTCTCTACCTGTACATTCCTCAAACCCAAGCTACCGCAGCATGTCTCGCTCAATTCCTTGAAAGGCTAGGCTGACTGGGACACATGCAGTTCATCACCTCCCATGCATTCCTCAATTTTTTGCACTCTGGATTCCATCTCTAGTGTGCTACTGAAACTGCTCCCTCCCAGTTCACAAATGACCTGGTGGCTGGACCAGGGGCAGCTTCTCAGACCCATCCTTGTTTAACATCAGCTGCACTGGATGGCGTGGACAGTCCACTTGGGTTGAGTGTACTTCTTCCCCTTGCCGCCACCATCCTCTACTTCTCTGCTCTCTCTCTTTGAATAACTTTTCTTTGGCCCGATCATGTCTAAACATCAAGGGTTCCCTTAAGGCTGTGTACTTGCTTCTCTTTTTATTCTACATCCTCTTCTTTGTTCACCTACTCTGTTCATCTGCTCTCACTCTGTCTGTAACAGCCCTGTGGAGATGGTCCATCAATTTAGGGTTTTGCCTAAACTCCAAACCTTAATTTCAAATTCTTGCTTAACATCTTCATGTGGATAAAATCAACAAACAGTTCTTAATAGCTCTTAACATGCCAAGTACAGAACTAAGCCAGAGGCAGTAATATGCAGTGGTTGAGGTACCCACTTGTATTTAAATCCTGAGTCCAACACACACAATCTGTGTGACCTGGGGAAATTCACTTAGCCTCTCTGTGCCTCAGATTCCTCACCTGTAATATACGAGTAATAGCAGTACCTTTTCTTAGGGCTGATGTAGGGATTAAATCTAAGTTAAATATGTAAGGTGCTTAGAACAGTGCACTATACATATCAAGTACTATGTAAGCATTAGCTATTATTATTCTCGTAAAAACCTAATGAGACAGGTACTATTATTTTGCCCATTTACACAATGAGAAAATGAAGGTAGGTTATTGTGCGTCATCACGGAATCTGAAACTCCAGATGTTCATCAAATTTTCCATTAAAATTCAATTTTTACTTATGTGCCTTTCTTGATTAGGGGTGTTCCTTCTCTCTCCCCTCACCACATATACGCCTACTAATACCCAACATACTACTTCCAGAGTCATCTTTATGAAATAATAGTCTTCCTATCCCTCCCCACCTTACACCCCAAAAAATCTCATTTTAAAGCATAATCTTATCATGCTCTTCAAAACCCTCTAAGATCTGGCTTCTCTATATCTTCTCTTAACAATATTGATTTTCGTTGCTTATCTTGCTCTAAAACTAATCTCACTATATTCTACATTTTGCTCCAAACCCAAGTGTGCTCATCTCCCCCCACTGCCTCCTCAAAAACTCGTAATCATCCTTCAAGGTCCATTCAAATCCCACCTCCTCTAGTGGGACCCCACTAAACCCAATCCTTTGCTCAAGTGATCTTCCCCCACCTACCTCCAAAAGGCCCAACAAATTGATTTTTTAAACTTTAATACATTTTATATTTCAAGAGTAAGGCATGAGTGTTGTAAAAAGACATAATATGCTGTAAAAACAAAATTAAAGCCCCCTTCATCTTCCCTACTGTCCTAATCCCATGCCCTACAAATCACCCCATTTAGCAATTTTTCACACATTGACAAATATCAACTATACATGTGTGCTTGGATTTTTCCTTAAAATATATATCACAGACATCTTTATAAGTCAGTATATTTTTTTCAACTTTTTAACATCTAAATAGTATTCTAAATCTGTTTTTTATTATGGTTATGTATAAGAAAGGTCATTCCTTTTCTGCCCCCATCTCCTGTATATGAATCTTCTTAAGGGTAAAGACCACGTTTTGTTTGTCCTTATATCTCCAAGAGGACCTTGTACCAATGCTAAGAATTGCTTAACAAACAAATGTTCAATGAAATAATAACAATATCTGTCATCAACCCAGTGCTCATTGTGCCAGAAAAACAGTTGTTAGTGCTTCGCATATATTATCATACTTAATCCTCATAACCACCCAATTATTCCCATTTTGCAGAAGATGAAATCACACAGCTAGTAAGGACAAGGGATTCTAATTTACATTTGTCTGACTCTGGAG